AGCAATTTTATGTTCACTGAAATGAATGAAATAATAGTGTCAGTAGTTGATCAGTGTTTGTTGTTATGCAATTTCCTGTGGTGTTTAAAGCACAAGAGGGTCACCAGGAGATTAATTTTTGTTCTCCTCTTTCTTTCTGTTTTAGAACCAGGATTCTGTAAAATATTAGCATTGCTATGCTTCATAGTCTGACTCTAGGGGGTTGGAAATCTCAAGTATAGTCACGAGCTTTTATAATAAAACCATTCCCCTGTTTAAAAAAAAACAAAACAACACAACACAACTTACTGTATTATTAATCCATCAACAAATGGATGATTTAGGAAACAAACCACATCTGCAGCTGAATACCTTTGATGCCCATTATACTGGAATTGGCTTTTTCTGCTTACAGTTACTAAAGCCAGCACTGGAAGATGCTGTTTGAAGTCACAGCTGTGTGATTTTCCTGTCTGACCCCAGAGGGGTTTCTCCCTGTCCATGTTCACTTCTGTGAAGCGTAACAAGGCAACATGGACCACAACACTTCTTTCTTGTCCCCCTCTTCACTTTCATGCCACAGCTTGCCCTCTGACATTGTGCCTGCAGGTGCGGTGCCACGTGCAGGCCTCAGAGGGTGCCCTCTAGCTGGAGGGGCTTTGTTTCCCCAATGCCTTCCTCTTCCCAGCGGGAGCTGATGGGGCCATCAGGCCATGGTGCCCCAGCTCACGGCTGCAGTGATGTGTGCAGCATGGTGGAGCCACAAGCCATCTACAAATGGCTTTAAATCGCATGCTCTTTGGGAACACCACGTACCATGAAGGGAGGCCTTTACAGAAACCACCATCACAGGGCTCCAGTCTCCTCAGGATGCTGTTGTACTCAATTAGTAACATACTACCACTTGCAGATGAGAGATGAGTTTTCAAAAAGTGAAGGAGTTGTTTTGGTGAAAAATACCACTGAAGGGGAAATCGCTTGATGATTCTTTTCCCTTTACAATTCAGAAAATTATGTCACAGTAGTTTCTTACCTTCATGAGCTCTTCAGACATTTAAAAATGTGTCCAAAAGGACTTAATTCATTTTAGGACTGTGCCATTCAGCAGCTATTAATTCTCCTGTTTTAAAATTCCCTCTCAGGTACTCTAATTTGGGTACTAAAACTTAGACGTAATTATTTTGTAGTGAGTTAAAACTTTTCCTTTATTTGTTTGTTTTTGTTTTAATTAACTATTCTTGTTTCTTCCCTGACTCTAGTTGATTTCCTGTATTCTTTCATTAGGTCTGTGGAAGACATCAGATGTTCAGACACTCTCTCTGCTTCTCTGTTTGGCATCTGGGATTCTCACCTCCCAGATCTTCTCTGACAGATCTTTAAACACTCTTCTTCTTCAAGTGAGTGAAAAGTCTTTACACTTGCTGTTCGCAGCTTCATTTTCTATGTCTGTTTGCTTCTCATTTCCACTCCTCTTTTGTATTATGTACCTGCTGTCCTGTCCTTATCCTTTCTCTGCATGCTTTGCCCAAAAGAAGCTTTGATCTGTTTCATCAATAGATTGCCATCTGCTAACTGTACTTTGTTGGCTTTCATGTTACTATTATGTTGAATATGCTTAGGAAGAGATACAGGAACTTTTAAGCATGAATTGCTGTAACAGGAAGAGTGCAGATCATTTAAAGCAACTTATTAAATCTACCTTGGTCTCGGGATGCACAGTGTCAGGTTATGATTTTTTTTTTTCTATGAGTCACTATTGCACATTTAATCTGGATGATTGTAAGCATTGTTCTGCTGGGAAACTTGTGTCTGAAAACATTTGTTTTATTGTATGTAGAAGATTCCTGTTTTTTACTGGCTGTTAGTGTCTAAAGTTGAAAGAAGTAGGTCAAAGACTGCATGTTGGTGTCTTAGACTCCAAGACTATATTGATGCAGCTTGCTAAGGATCAGGGCTGCCCTCAATACTCGACACACATCTCATTTGTTGTGAGAGTTTGAGGTAAGGTGCACATGTGGTAGGTTTTCCTTCAGCCTGCTGTGGAGGAGGCAAACCAGAAGCAGAGCACATCACTTGTAAGGTAGATTCCAAGTTTTTATAGACACAGCCTTTCTTCAGCTTCCACTGAAAAAAAAACTGCTGTATGCCAGGATGTGACATAGGAGAAGTGTGGCTTCTAATTACTTTTTTTTCTGTGTTATTAACCTTGGATTGGTGGAACTGCTCATGTGCTTCCTCTGCTTCGTTTTCTTCTTCACAGATTTGCTGCCAGGGAAATGAAGGGTGAGAATTACAGATTAAATACACCCATGATTTTAAAAGCCTCATCACACTCTTGATGACAGGCAAGTGCCAGGTGCCCAGGTACCTATTGCTCGTTCTGCTTTTGGCATCATGATCTTGAGGAACAGAATTACTTGGGCACCATAGTTCTTTCTGTAGACAGAAAGGATCATGGAAATCTTGCTTGGAATGAAATCAGGTCTAATCTGTAATGATTTGCAGGGAAAAGAAAAAAGTGCCATGGGAAGACTAAGGGAAAGATAACAACAGAAAATATTGTGATGGTGTTTGGTTTTGTTTTTTGTTCTTGGATCAGTGCTGAAGAAGACCATAAAACTAGTAAGGAGGTGGATGAGGGATGGCTTAATTTTTATTCCAAGCATGGTGAAAAAAATCCTGCATATGGGTTAAGAAATGAATGTTGTGTTACCAGCTGTGTATCAACACCGCGGAACTGCAGGGTGTTGCCTTCCAGCAAGAGAGTTAAGGAATATTCAGTCTTTCACACTTCAATAAGAAAGTGTTATGGAGTACTGTGAGCACCATATATCAGTGCACAAATGAAGAGAAAAATAGTGACTAATGAATTTGGTCTTCCAGCAGGCAAAGATAGTTGGAAGCAGAAACTAGTCAAATTCAAGCTGAGGATAAGGCGACCATTCTTAGTCCTTAAAGGAATTAGAAAGTGAAATATTTTTTGGTTCTCTATTAGGGAATGCTTGACAACCTAGATGCGCTATTTCTTGTAGAAGACAGATATGCTTCAGTTAAAACAGAGCTACTAGACTTGAAACAGGAATTCAGAGACATAACTCCAGTGGCTTGAAATTTGCAGGCTAGTAATTGGGACAGTCATTAGGGAAATGTTATAGCATAGATCCCATTTTTTGGATCCTTTTTATTTAAGTACATTTGCATGAAACTGATATACTTACTTTTTAAAAGTTGGTAAGTAAAACTTCTCTTAGGTAAACAGCTTAGCACTAGCTGGTTACATCAGCAAGTGTCCTAGGTCTTCTGTAAACAGAGAAGACTGAGACAGAAATACATACCTGTGCTGCCAATTTGAAGTGCTTGCTTTGTTGCTTTGGCATCCTGTTCCTTGACCCTGCCATCATTTGTCCTCTGTGGCTTTTCCACTGTGCTGGAGCAAGAAGGACTCTCCCCAAGGAGAAGGAGCGTGTCAGTGTCCTGGGGGACTTGACCATGGTCAGTGTGGGTGTAGCTATGCCAGTCCTCTACCACCCTCAAGAAGGCTGTGTACCTGCAGATGCTCTTCTATGTGCAGCATGCAGGTGGATACTGCATAAGCTGGATTGTTGTATTTTCTTGGGGGTGTTGCAGAAAATATTAGCTCTTACAGGATCTTCAAATTACTGTGAAGGATGTTTCAGGCACAAACTGTTTCAGGCACAGGGGTCTGATTCCTGTTCCTATATGGGAGAAAAAATCATGAGGAAAGGACCTCTGTTCCACTATTACTTTTGTAGATGCAACAGGTAGCCCTGCAGGTGATCAGCAAGAAAAGTATGGGCATCACCAGTGTGCTGCTGGGCTTCTGAGAAACTGCAACAGAAATATCTCTCTGCTTCTTTATGATTAACTAACAAAACTTAATCTGTTACCTCTTAAATACTTGGAGAGAATTTGAGTCATGGTAAGAAAGTAACTTAATTACATCACATTGATTTCTGAATAGGAAAAATAAATCTCTCGTGTTTAACAGAGCGGTAGTGATAGTATATCACTGACTTTCAGTTAAACTTAATTTTCTTAGATAAGGAAAAATTAACAAAAAGGTGAGATTTGAAATTTAGTCTGGGTGCAGAATAAATCAATTATTTAACCTAACTTAAATCCTTTTTTTTTTTTTTTTTTTTTTTCAGTTTTTAATAGTGTATTTTTTAGGTCCCCAAGAATTACTGTGTACTTAATCTACACACAGAAGCAAGAGTGCTGTGTGTTCATATGAGCTAGCATATGAGGACAAAAACTGTCTAGCTCTCCAATACTGAATCAAGTGTAGGCAAAGCTACAGAAATTACAATAGATAAGTATTTTATGAAATGAGAGTGTCATTCCTATTTAAATAAAGATAAGTGAGACTGTATTCATTTACTGCATTTTGTTTAATAAGAAAAAGAAAAATCGTCTTTCCTAGGACTCTTTTACTCTTAATGAGAGAGAGGCATCAGCTTTTTCAGCTTCTTTAATTTGTTTATATCAGCACATAATCAAAACACTTTCCCCTCTTCCCTGCAGGGAAGGAAATATACCAAAGGAGAACACAAACCAGTAATGCATTAATATGGATGGGTCAGTGAGTTTAGAACTGTTTTACAGAGTCAGCAAAATTTATAGTCCATTCAAATACTTCATCTGCAGTATGTGCTTCCCAACATAGGTTTATTTTTTGTTGGAGGTTTTTGTTTGCTTTCAAATTGAGAGAAAGTTTTGTGTTCTAAAGTAAAGCTTTTCCTTTTTCAGTCTAAACCAGGAGTGTATGTATACATACATATATCATTGAAGCTACTTTACTAGAAATCAGTTCACTCTACTTTTAAATGAATGATTACTATCATGATTAGTAAACTCATGTGCTGAGATATTTCTGCACTTGTCTGACTGCCATTCTCAGTTACACAGCATTGAATAAGTCTCTAGACTTATTTTATCCTAGTTTTATGGTAGAAATTACCTGTCTGAGATTTTAAACAATCCCCATTGCCTTTCTACAGCTTGGAGGTTGCCAGCCTGACTCGGGCAGATGCTGATTTGGAGGCATATCGAATGCAAATATGTAAAGAAGTGATTGCTATCATGATGAAGAACATGGTCTTAAGTCACAGCCTCTTTCCTCATGTGGAGAAGAGGATGAGTTCAATTTTTAAAAAACAGTTTCTAGCAATGGAGAAGGAGATACAGGAAGAATATGAAAGAAAGGTCGTGGCTTTCACAGCTGAATGTAATCTGGAAACTAGGAAGAAAATGGAGGCTCAACGCCAAAAAGAGAGAGCTGCAAATGAAGAAGCTGAAGAATTAATAAAGAAAGTGAATGAAAAGGTAAATCAAGATACTTTGCATGATGTGGTTTTATGTAGATGGTTTCTCTTTTAGACTAGGATGGCTGAGTTGTTCTCTTAGAAGACTAAGACTATACAATTTAAAAGTGTTCAGAAAATCAGATTTGATGAATAGAGTGATTGAATAGACATTTTCTGTGTGTTTTACTTTTCCAGGAAAATGAAATTATATCAAGAGTATCAATGACACTTGAAAACAAAAGGCTATTGTTACCCTGATTTGTATTTATTTATTTATTGCATAGTCACTTCTAGCCCCCTTGCAAATTAGTGTATTATTATTTGTTATTGTGTATGGTAGCGATTCCAAAGAGCTCCAGTCAGACACTGTGTAAAGTATATTGCACATTCAGAGCAGAATCATAAACCTTATCTGCATCATACACCTAACAATCTAGGTAAAAAATCTCCAAAATTTATATTCTTATTTTGAATGAAATTAATATATAAGCTCCACCAAAGGCTGATTTCTTCCAGACCAAGTGAAGGCACAAACAACAGTCTATATGCAAAGCAGGCAGTGGACTTCTCTTGAAAATAGCCTCTGGGGAAGAGAGAGATAATTTGTATTCCGACAGAAAATAATTCTTTACAAGTTAAGAGGCTCTGCTTAAGTAAAATCTTAATGCTTATGTGTGTTCCTTTCATCCAAAGATCTCTTTCTGAATGGGTAGTATTGCCTGGGATTTCATAGGTAGTCATTAGTTGGAAGTAGTGCCCAAGTCTTAACATCCTCTGGTCCAGCATCCTATCTGCAAAATCATGCTCTGTTCTTCAATGCCATCTTTCAAGTATAATGAATTTTTTACAATAAAATGGGCTGATCTTTTTCCTTTTCACTTTGTGTCTGGAGGGAATTCTGCTAGGTTTTGAATATTCTACCTCTGTAACCTTAAAGTGCTAACGTACCCAAGTTAATGTTTCATGCTTGTCTATAACTCAGTTTATTAGGATGACTTGTGGGAATAAATAGTACAGTTCATTATTTACCAGTGGGGATTCGTTTCTGGATGTGCAAGTGGATGCGTGGGTATTGGATGTGTCACTTTTGAATTTTGAGCTGTCTGATTCATTTGTGTTATAGAGACAAAATAAGCTTTATTTGGAGTAGATTCTGCTATACCAGTATATTTCCTTACACATTCTTATGTATACTGTTATTGTAGACATAAGTTTCTGGCATTCTGTAAAAAATGCTTGATTATTTGCATACCATGTACCTATAATTCTTACGGACTTCATGACAATTCATAAGAATAGTTTAGAGAAAAGTGTTTTGCTGAGGGTACCCATCAAAGGTACTATAGTATGGTGAGGTTCTCTGAAAGAACCTCAATTTATCAGGCCGTTATGTGGAAAAAGCTGGTGGACTTATGAAAGTCAGCTGAACTTGTTTAGGGTTTCCAGCTCATTTTAGATTGTGACTCCAGTGAACTCTCACTAAATATGCTCTTAGTCCAGCAGTTTTTCTTTGCACAAAATATACTTGATATTGTTTCAATCTGGTTTATATTAGAAATCCTGAATATTAACAATCAGTGAAAGAATTAAATCCAGTCCAATTCTTGTCCTCATGCATTTATCATCTACTTATGTCCTGTTATCCACCTTTCTCCCCTAAAACTGTTATAGTAATTATTCTTTCTGAGAGAATGTAGCAAAAAGCACCAGGATCTATGAAGGAATTTGTTTTAATACTTCCTGTGGAACCTGGCCCAAAAGGAGATGCTGGAGAGCTAGGCATGGCTTACACTTGAGCTCCTGCCAGTGGGTGACATCTGAAAAACAACAGTAAAAAACAGCTGCAGCAGCAGCATGTTCACCCTTTTCAGTTAAAACACAATGTATATTCCCTACCCTTTTGGATTCATTGTTTGCTGCCTGCAATGCATCACTTGCAAATGAGGGGTGACCTGTGGGGGGGCTCAGTGCAGAGGACAGCTCTCCCCATATAAGTAGAATGAAATTTGGAACAAGACCAACAAGACTACTGCTTAGTAGCTCTGCTAACATTAGAAACATTCTTTGCTCTTTGGGACATGTATTTTTTGATTCTAAAATGAGTTTATGCCATCTGAGATTAAAACTATGAATATGATAGTTCTTACTAGAGAACTATGAGAAAGTATTTCTTGTGAAGAGGCTTTTAAATTAATTGCTATTTAATTTTGCACCATTGTTGTAACTCTAAAGTGGTGCTCTTGGATTAATTTTTAGAAACCAATAGATAAAGTAGGTCACTGATAATAAGAACTTTTAAAGATTTGCAGTAGAGTATTTTTTCTAATTTACATTGTTTTCAAAATGTATACTTATTGTTCTTTCTTTTTTTTTCTGAATTTTTGAAGTCTATTCAATTTTAATATGGTTTCAGTATTGATGAAACATAAGAAATTTATTTCATGTGTATTCTAAAAAGACTTCACAAAGCCTCGGAAGTGTTACCTGGATTATAAACTGACTGTTGTGCAACCCATAATTCCAACAGATGAAAAATATGGGAAGTGTACATTGATTTAGTATTAATTTGCATTCAAACCTGAAATGACAGTAATCAGAGTATGCATAAAATACATATGAACTAGTAGCACTGATAATTTAAAAAATGTTAAATACTGAATATCACTGCAGATTTATTTATTTTTCTCTTCTCTGCAGCCTGCTGTTGAATACAGAACTCTTCTGGATAGACTTCACAGGCTGGAGCAGGACCACCTGAAGAGGTTCCTTCTGGTAAAGCAGGAGGAATATTTTGCAAAAGCTTATAGACAGCTGGCTATTTCCCAGAGAAAGGAGCTCCATAACATCTTTTTTACACAGATAACAAATGCTACCTTAAAGGGAGAACTGAAACTGGAAGCAGCTAAAACATTAGTGCAAGATTACTCTAAAATACAGGTAATAGGATGACAGCTTCATTCCTAACTTAATGACAGAATCCAAATCCACACTAACTTTTGTGAAATGTGTCAGAAAAATATTTGCACTCATATATAGAAGATATTATCCATATGTTAGCACTTGTTATAACTAATTTTCATAGGAATAACGTTCAAAAATATATAGATATCATTATGGAAATTTAGTTATCTACGCAACATATGTATGCTGTAATATACATATATATATAAGCTCACTGTTTTTTCACCTTTTTACCTTTTTGCTATTAATGAACAAATTTGGCCTGATATCCATAGGTGTTAGTTGAAATTAATATTACATCTAATTAGATATATTTGTTTGCATTCCTTCCTGTAGGGAGACATTGAAGAGTTAATGGATTTTTTGCAAGCTAGCAAGAAATACCATTTGAATAGAAGATTTGCTTACAGAGAGTATCTCATAAGTAAGGTACAGTTAATGGATTCTCAAGCTTCTACTCTTATAAATGCAGCAGCAACCCAGATATCAGCTCTCATTAATAAGATGGAAAGGTAAATATCTCAACTGTTTTTTTTAAGTCAGTTTTAAAGTCAGTTTAAAAATTACCAAATATTGCATCTGTTGATATGATAATCTAATTTACCTATTTTTTTAACCTTTGCTTGCTAATCTTTTTATTTCTCCTGTTTGCTGCCATGTTGGAATCATACTCTAAGTTTAGCCTCAAGATTTTGTTGATCAGAGAGAGGTTCTTCCAGTATGCTTGCACTACTTTGCCTGTTTTGCTAAAATCTGCAGCTGTGTGGCTCAAAGACAAAAATAAATCTCTTGGCATAGGAAATACAATTTAGGCACATCTTCCACAGAGAGTTCCTTTCCATCAGTTCATGCTTCTTTTTAGAATTGGATTATATAAGAAATTCTTAAAGAAATATATATAAGAAATTCCGAGATGTTTTCACAGATGTCGTTATGTGAAGAGCCTTAACGAGAAACTCTTTTCTGTACAACCAGTACAACCACTGCATCCATGGATCAAATAATTGAAATGAACAACAGGGACTTCTCAAGCTGAAAAAATAGTTGTATGCCTGTTGCTGCACTTAATAGTCAAAAAACATATTAACAACTGAATGGAGAGGAAACATCTAGTATTAGTAATTCAAGACCTTGTAGATCTCATCCCCAAAAATATATTTTAATGGGAGGGATGCTTGCACACAAATAACCCAAACCCTCTGCAAAAACAATCAACCTCTTCTCCCTTAAAGCATCGTTAACACGACGAAAAATAAATTCTGTATTACTCTCTGTTTAAACTTCATAGAGTGGTAGTACTCTGCAGACAAAGGAAACATGTCCGTAGTTGACATTTGTAGAGAAGAAATCCCATCTGATTTTTTGAGTATAGAAGTACTTATTTTTCTGTAACTTCCCATACCTTCTAGGGCATGAATTCCATTCAGGCAAATTTTGGCCAAACTGTTACGTTATTTATTCTTTAGATGTTGAGATTATAAAGCTCCAGAATCTAGTAATACAAATTATTTGCTAGACTTTCTTCTACAAGCAGACTGAAATATCCTTGTATAAACCCAGAGGAAGTATGTGCTAGGAAGACTTAGATTTCAGTTTTTAACTCTGAACTGATTTGGGGAATATTTACAATTTGGTGCGTTACAATTTGAGCAGATGTACTTTGGTTTGATGGTTTGGTACTTTAAATTTGTATTCATAATATCCTCTTAAGTTTCATATTAGCATTGAATTTGCTTGTCTAAATATAAACACAGGTCTGTCTTAGTCTGTTATGCCTAACATTGGTTCTTAAACTTACAGTTAAAAATGGCATGCTGAAATGCAGAGCTATTTATATTGAGAAGAGAAACTAATATACCACAGGTAAACAGAAATAAGGAATACATAAAACAGCAAATAAATGATAAGGAGAGAGGATATTTAGAATTCATCAGGTAGAAAGGCATTTCAAAATTAACATGAAAAAGATTGTGTATAGCCAGAAATAAAGGTTATAAAAAGCAAAATGAAACCAAGACAAAACAATTCCAGGGAGATTTGTGAAGATTTTAAATGAAGTAAGGCAGCCACAGTTTTCAAGCTGAGCTTTCTATAGATAGCAATTAAATAAAATATCCCATTTGTTAGGACTGGCTGTGTGTACTCAGTGCTGTTTGGAAAGCAAGTCTGTGAGCTGCAATGCCAAAACACAAGAAAGCAAGTTCTAAAATTCAGATGGTAATTATAGATTTGTAGGGTTGTCTAGCTAGGGGTTTTGTGTTTTCCCTCAACAAATAAATGAGTCAAAAGGTGATACTTGAGGCAATATTTAGCCTGATGTTGTTCCGGGTATACCCAGAGGTGCCAGGTTCGTGACATTTTTAAACTACAGCATTTTGTAGCATGTAGCATTGTTCTTTAGTGAGTATCAGCACTCTCACAAGAAGTTTAATTTCTTCTTTGGTCTCCTAAAAAGCTTACTCCAGTTCTGCTGATTCGCTAGTTATGAACAATTCAAGCTCCTTTATAAATTTCTCCAAAAATTGTAATATTTATGAGGCCTCAAGCATTTCTTGTGAACTGTTTTAAAGTAGGCAGTTGATTATCTTTGACATAAAAGATCAAAGCAAAACATCTTATGTTGGTCTTTTATTCTTGTGAATATTCTTCATTTGGGCGGATCTTGATATAACCAAAGTAGTTTTCCGATCTGTCTTGCTGGACCTTTCAGGAACTAGGCATTAGAAAGCGAACACATCCAGTGGTAATGCGTCAGTATAAAGCTTTTTCGTCATCTCTTAACCTTTTCTGCTTGTAGCTATTTTCTGTATAAGGCATTTATTGTCCTGAATTATTTCCCTCAATTGTGATGGCAATATGCCAGCTCAGTGGGTGAAATCCTGAAGTAGCTGAAGTTCAGTAACATCAACATGGCTCTTCTGAAATTTTTCATTTGTGGGATGGTTCCGACACATCCATCTTTTTCTATTGCAGTCCCTTTCACTGCCTCAGACAGGGATTTTAATTGGATACAGCAAGGCTGAGTTTATTTCTTTAACACGAGGCAAGCTGAAGGTGTTCAAAATAATATCTTGGTTATTACCTTACCTTACTTTCTCACTATAATAAATCTACCTTTTGATTCACTAATCTTTTGCCTTAGGCTTGATGGAAAGGAGGTATTAGAGCTAACAAATATAGATAGAAAACTTGGTGCTGTTGAGTCTGTTATTGTTGGTTTTTTTTGGACACAACACTGAAATTATTTGCTTTCAAGGCAAAAATGACTTTGCCAGAAGATCTGTGAATGATGCTCTCAAGTTACTGAGAGGTATTTTAATCTGCCTTCTGTAGAAGATCAGAAAAAATCAGCAGATGTTGGAAGAAACCTGTGTAAAAGAAAGCCCTGTCTGGTTGACCTAACTGTGTAATAAAACAGCTCAGAGTTTCTTTCCAGCACTCTCAGTATGCAGGGGATATTTTGTGGCCTACTCAGATACCTGCAGATGCTTGAGCAGTAGATGGAGAGGTGTGAACTGTGGAATCTGGATACCACATTTCTCTTGCAGTGCCTGCAAACAAGCTAAGATGTACATCTCCTGTGTTATTTCTTTTAGCTTGTATTTTGAAGATTTTGCTTGGAATAAAGCTATGACAGTATCAACAAATCCTAATAGAATAAGATCCTGTACTTTCTGGAAAAGGATTGTGGTGGTAGATTCCGAGCTTTAGCCACTTCTCTAGTTTATTATTTATTTATGCTAGGTATTATATTGGAATGGGGACTTGGAAGAGCAACATATTAATGTCTTGATTTTCAGAGATTTTACAAAATTTTTTTTGAATCCAAGCTCTGTGAATAATGTTCATGTCTTACGATTTTGGAAGCTCACTATACTTAATATTAAAAAATTTAAGTTAAAAATGCCCAACAGCCTTGTCTGACTGCATTATGATTTTCATTTATTCTTCTGTTTTCTGAGAAAGATTTGGGAAAATTCTGATGTAAATAGGATAGTGGGAAATTTTAGAAGTTCAATTTGAGTTTATGGAGAGGGAGATTTTCTTAACTATTATGCTATCTAAATAACTACAATTGGGATTTTGCTTACTCTTTGATGTTAAGTAGTACAGCAACTGGAGGTAGACCATTGTCTTAAACTTCAATTTGAAAGTTCTGTGCGCTTAATAAGTGGGGATTTGCGCTGTCAGAGTATTGTATTTCACTGGTAACTGGAAATGTTTAAAAATTTTCTGATTTAAATGCAATAGAAAATGTGAATTTAAGTCTGTTCGTGGATATGGCTGCTTTGTATCTTTAAAATAATTTTTAAATGTTTTTATTTGGTTAAATTACATCCTTAGAAGAGAAAATTGTTTCTAACTAGGATTTAGAAAGGACATCCAGAGTTGCATTCCAGTGGTGTTAAATGAAAAATGTAAATATTTTAAATAATATATAAGGTTTAAAATGTCTCATTTGAATTTTGCTTACATTACTAACTGATATGTAGTTGGTTTTGCATTTGCCTTCCCTTCTTTCCTTCTTCACATTCCTTCTTTATAAACCTTCACTCTACTCTCACAAACTGCCTTCATTTTGCACTCATCTTTGAGATTATGACTATTATCCACTTGTTTCTTTGAGTCTCCCCAGATACTACTGCTAAAAAAAAAAAATAAGATCTTTCTGTGTGGCTACTTTGTTGAGCCTTTGAATGGTACTAATTACTTCAAATATCCTTTTGCTCATAAGAATTTAGGATAACAGACTTCAAACACTATTATTACAGAGCAGGTCATCTACCTGAAAGTCATTTGGGACTTCTGCTGGATCGAGCTGAGACTGAAATTAATTCTGTTAAGCAGAAATTTGATCATGATTTGAAACAAGAAAAGCAAAAGCTTCATCAGAAACTCATTATCAAGCGAAGGCGGGAAATGCTGCAAAAGGTAATTATTTTCAGTATATTTATTTTCACAGGGCTTAACGTGAAGAAATTAAATGAGTTGGAAAGTAAAGTGTAGTTCTTAGGATGGGGGTCGACGCTGCCAGGAGCGCAGATGAAAATAATATCTGTTCTTTTTATCTGTGTGCCTCCATTTGCTGTGTTAAGTATTCAGATATTAACAGCTATTCTTTAAAAAATAAAAATTAAAAAATGCAAGAAATTGACCTAAGTAGAGAAACTCATGAAGCCTATCTAGTTAGTTGTACCTGTTCCAGGGAGGTGTTACAAACCTCTGTGCAGACAGGCAAAAGACCAGCTGAGGTTCTGGAATCAGTGAGGCAGATGGCACAGATCTGTTGCAGTCATTGTTTTCTGTGGATTTTCTGGCTGGGACATAAATGGTTTTTATTGCACAGTTAAAACTCCTGCAGGTCAACTACAAAACTCTGCCTAAGGGATGTAGGAAAAACTACATTAGATTCTTTACATTGGGTTAGGTGATATATCTCTAGGTGACCAAAATTAAGTGAGATTAATTTTACCTTTTGTGGGATATGTGTTTCAGTGTTTTCTACTCTTTAACAGATGTCACTACAAAGAGGGACAATAGGCATAAAGATGGAGACTTCCATCTTTGTTGTCTTTATTGTCAGTATAGGTAGCTTTGGTTTAGCCTTCTGGTGAAATTGCTGCTTACTGTAAGAAGAAGGAGAAAATCAAAAACAACAAAAAAAAATTTTTTTCTTCTTCTTCGTTGGTATTTGTTTGATTGATTTGTTACTTCTGGAACACTGCCAGATCATTACAATTCAGCTGTTTGTCACTACGTCAAACCACAAGGTCATACCTTTTTTTAGGTGTTAGCCCTTCTATCAATAATCCAAATTATGATAGGCCTGCTTGATGCACACAAAGCCATAATGTCGAGGACTAAGTTAGTCTCTGGATGCTGAAAAGTAGTTTCGAGAACACTCAAAACCAAAAGTAGAAACTTTGCTTTGCTATGCAATATGTAATTAAAGAGCTGGAATTTGAGGGCTGTTCCTTCTTAATCTTGTTCCTCTTTTAAAAAATGAATCAGCAGAAAGAGCATCGAAAGGAGCAGCTGTCACTTGGGGACCCCTTCAAAACCACTAAGGAGGTCACTCACTACCTGAGCCACTGGAAAAATCTTTTGAATGATCATGCCATTGAATTTGAAGAACTTACTGAAAAGCTTGATAATGAGGCCAGTGAAGAGCTGAAAGACCTTATATTTAATCTAGCAGAGAAAACTATTGAAGAGCTTAAGCGTGTTCAGTATGGAATATTTGTACAAGAACTGGTAAAGCTCAACGTGCCAAAGATGTTCCTGCTGGAAGTTGTAGAAGAGCATAAAAAAGAGATCATTATTAAACGTGAACAACTTGAAAGGGAAGAACATGAAAAGAGCATGGTCGCTGAAGAGTTGCTGCAGCTCACAAGACAAAAACTAAGCCAAGAACTGGAAGCTAGGTTTTTGGAACAAAAAAAAATAAGGAGTTGGGAACAATCGGTATTCATGCAAGTATCTCTATGTCTTTTTCTTAGTTATTCTTGTAAACAGTGATGAGCTAGGAGTTGTCATACCTGTCTGAATGTAATTGTTAATGATCAATTATATGTCAAGCACCTGGGAATTGATTTCTCACAAGTGCTCAGGCCCTGCAGAGCCAGCAACATGCACTGACAGTCTGACACCTCAGTAGAGTTTCCAGGAAACAGAATTTTTGAAACCGAAAGGTGGAGTGATATTTTTATACTTCACTTCACTTTGTACCAGGTGTCACTTGTGCATCTTTCATTATTATTCTTGGTTTGTTCTCAGAGGTCCAACACTTTGCAAATGTCATTTACTATGTCAGGCCTAATGAGCCCTGCACTCAATTTTGATACATTCGTTCCAGAAACAAGTCAAGCCTTATTCATCAGGTGCTAATTTTATGCTTTACAGAAGCATTTCTACATATGTCATAAATATACAGCACAGTAGCGTACCTCTGTGGTTCAAGAGATCCACACATCAGACTTGGCCAATCTGTCGTGCTGACAGAGTGCTGCTGATGCCGAGGCCCCAAGCTGCTTCATACCTCTTCTTTAAAGTAAAACAGTTTTGCTCAGGCAGTTTTGTCCTGACAGCATCTCTGTAAGTTTTTCTGCTGTACAGTGTAAGGCCACATAAAAGAAATAGGAAAAGAAACCTTGCCCATTGCAAGCTTGCTTTGTTAGAGGAAAAAAAATCCATTTCTGTCCTAGTTTAGTTTTTAATTTCAAAGTCCTTGTACTTTATTCAGCATTTTAAATACTTTTTCAATAAGCTATTCCAGTGTATCTTCTAACTTGTCTTATTATCTCTGAATATATTGCTGAGAACAGACCTGCAAGAACAAGGAGGTAGATTGTATGACCCGGCAAGTCTTTCGTTTTTATAACTTATGATTCCATGATAATTGTGCTCTAGTCTGCAGTGTCACCTGATGTATTGTTAGATGCTATCTGTTTACTGCAATAGTAAGCTGATTGTTTTTTTTCCAGTAAAATACTGGCAAATACATACAAAAACTGCAGCATTATGCAACTACTCTACCAAAAGTCTCTTAAAATCTGTCACTTTATGTTCAGTCCACTGTCGATTTTGAGATTTCTATCACAGTTCCCAGCTCTTTCATTTGTGTTCTCATCTGCTGTTTTTCACGAAGAATTATTTTGACTGATAGCTTTTCATTTCTGTTGCTACTGAAGAGATAAGTTAGTCCAAAGTTCCTGTGAAGACTTTTTTTTTTTCAATGCTAAAAGTCCTTATTAAATATAGACTTTACAAAATTGTGATTTGCAGTCTTTACACACACACATACATACACACACACTTGATTTTCTTCTAATGAATGTCTTAAGACAACATGAGAAATGGGAAGTATAATGGAAATGCTTATTTGGAGTAATACTGCATTCATTTTTTTAGGTGAAAACTTTACAGCATATTAAAATGTTTTAGTTTAGGATGTAACAGTACTTTGCTGAATCAGTAAACAGAAATAGGATCTATTTAGATGCAGGATTTCTAAACCCAGGGATATTTTAGTGCAACTATGAGGTACTTTATAACTATGATATGTTGAATTAAAGCTTCAGTCTTAATGGAACATACAGTATAATATAATATAATAATAATAAGCTACTTAAAAAAAAAAAAGTGATGTTCATGCTTTTAATGCAAATGCATTTTTGGGAAAGAGAATTTGTTTAAAAGAAAAGTTAAACTACTTTTATGAAATACTCTTAAATATTTCAGTCACAAGATCAGAACATGAATATAGTCTAAGGTTAGTCAAAAAATGGAAGATGAATTTAGGCTTTAGCATGTTCTATTTTTAAGTCAACGTCACCTTGGCCTGAGGAATAGTTCCCTGGACTTCTGTGTTGAGAACCTTCCTTTGACAAAATAGGAACTTTTTGAGTGATTTAAACTGTTAAAATATAATCCATGTTGTTCAGACCGATAAAAGTTTTTTTACAAAGAATAGGTCAAACCACTTGGTGATGGGGCAGATGACATATATGAGTTTATAATACAGAGATTTATTTTATTTTATTTTTCTCCCCTCTCAGTAGCTTGGTCTGCTGAGTGCTGAGAAACAGCACAGGGAGGCTTTACAGGAAGTCTTTGTCTTGATTACAGCCCTAACAGCCCTAAATTCAGGGTTTGTGTTGTCTGAAGTGGTAGAATAATTCTGTACATAAGAAGTTTGCTCAAATTTGTGTTTTTATATTTTTTTATTCCAAATGTGTTTCCTTTTGAAAATAATGTTTTGCAGTCAAGGAAGTACTGTACTTAAAATTTAAGGTATACTCATGGATATTTTAAACATTCTGGGCAGCTCAGTCCTATGTGAGATGAATGAGATTTATGCACAATGTAAAGAATGATGGTCATGGTCCTGTAAAGTATTCTTGTGCATGTCTTTTAAATTTTGTCTGTATCACTGAACAGCAAACGGCTTTCATTGTTGTTTTTTGTTTGTTTGTTTTGTTTTGTTTTTCTGTTTGTTTGTTTGTTTTTTCTTTTAACAGGCATCTTCTAAGTTTGCCCCTTTCACTATCCGAAGAGGAATTGCTTAAAATGAGACAAGAGTTCCACTGCTGCTTTTCTCAGGTGGACAGCAGCTTGGCTCTGCCCAAGATAAGAGCAAGAACTTTGCTTCAGGCTTTTGAGCTGGAGCAAAGGGATGTGGAGCTGCTGAAAGTTGATCAAAATTTGGCAATGACCAATAAACAGGTAGGCACAATGTGGGGTCAGAGTGGGGATGCATGAAGTGTTCATGCATGCATCCACAGTTGTTGGCCTGATCTGCAGATGAAGTCCATGGTTTCTCCATAGAGATGACAGTGATGTGTGCTTCTTCTGTGTGTGGATCAGTAAACCTTAAAGATAACAGTTTAAGCAGCAGTCAGATATGCTTCCTTCACATACACCTGCATAGATCTACTGCTTATGTGTCCTCCAGTCTTGCCAAGATGAAGGCATCTGTATAAAGAAATGGTTGGGTGACCAAAAGGGGAGAGTCTACTGAAATGTCAAAAACTGGAGAGATGATAAACTTGATTCTGAATATCAGGGACAAGTTATGTCCTTTACAACCCAAATTGAGATTTCGCTTGCAAACCTTCTACTTCACTAAATTTGGCACTAAAGTAGGGAAGGACATTGTTGCCTCTTGGCAATAATACGGGCTTGATTTCAGGTTAGTCTTTCCAAAATAATTGGACGTGTACAGAGGTGGTTTTATTTTGTTTATTTTAAATCCAGATAATAAGATGATCTAGACAATCTAATAAGTAAATTTAAAGTTAGAGAGGCTTTCCCAACAAGAAATATCTATCAAATTTAGCACTGTTTTTTTTTTTTTTTTTTTTTTTTTTTGTTGTTGTTGTTGTTTGTTTGTTTATTTGTGTTTTTGTTTTGTTTTGTTTTTAATAACACTGCGAAGGGTGTTAAATTCCTTTTGTAAGATGCAAAATCTTTGGAATCATAAATTGTTTTATATTCTTAAACAGGAGAAAGAAAATTGTTTCCTGTATAATGTTTCTGATACCATTGTAAAAGGAGTACTTTCCCTTGCTTTGTTTTGCTTCAGTTACATTTTCTAAATGTGTAAACTAACTTGGGATAATTATATTAGGAAGTAGGCTTGTTCAAAACCTTAATAATTTCTGAATTACTTAAGAAGGAAAATGACTTTGCAATAGCCTTATAGTTGAACAAGTGTTATCATTTCCCTGAGAGTTCATTATACTTAGTTGATATTCTTGTAAAGATATATAAAGGTCAAGAATAATTTGATTACATGAAGTGGTGCCTATTAATAATACCAGGTTCATTTGTGATTCATATACTGTGTCTCTAAAACAATGCAGTTCTTGAATTAATTTTCTTGGTTCATTTTTAACTGTGCTGAGGAAACTATGTATCAGTTAATATCTTTTATTGTCACTACTAAAGGTTGTATAAAACCAGCTTTATAGCAGTTTTCCTGGAAAGAGTGAGTGAGTGAAATTTAAATGAAATGAATGAAATTTTAAAAATGAGTTTCCAGTTTTATCTGAATGTCTGAAAGGAATCATCAGAATGAATGCACAGCACATGCATTTCAGAAATATTTTCTCAGTGAAATTTGTCCTTTTCAAGTGTTTCATTAATTGGTCAATCTGCCCAAAATAGTAAGTTATAATCTTAATGTTACCATATCCATCTACCTCTTACAAATAATGCCTTTTTTGCTCATCTTATCACAGCAGCATTCTAAAATGAAAAAATCAGGATCCAGGAGTAGAAATAAAATAGATATTCTGAAGAAATCTTTACAGGACAAAATTTTAATTTATGAAGACTCGGTGAAAGATGAAAATGTGAATAAGGTAAACGTTAGATTTTCCTTTTCTGGGGTCAGAACCTATATTTTAAGTAATTAAAGAATAACAGTTCTCAGTCATGAATAAAATCCAGATAAAGAAGGCATGTGGTGCAGTGGCATGGTCTATCTTTTTACTCATACCTGCATTTGTCAAGATGAATTTAAAGATTGATAGTTTTGACTGTTTAAATTTTTGCACCTTAGTTACAGAACTGCTTTCATGTCTCACTCTTTTTTTCCTCTGGTGGTTCTGGGGCTTGGTGTATGCATGATTGCAAGATTCCCCTAGGTACTCTGGGTTTCTTAGCACACCTTTCAAATTATAGAATCATAGAACAGTGGATTGTGCTTCACTGCTGAACAAAATTTTATTCATGGGCCTTATTAATGCTACTCAAAATGCAGAAATGGGTTCTTAGATTCCAGTATGTTTTGAGTAGTTTTATACTGAGTTTATTTGTACACAACTCATTGAAGGGGAGCCTTGATTCTTGTTGGTACCTTTTAAAAGGGTCCTAATCCCAATCTATTGTTAATCTTTGAGGACTGGAAGGGCCAGTGTCAATATGGGGTTTTGGAGGTTTTTTCCTTCTCTGCCAATAGACTTTCCATGTGATATTCAACTTCTTCAACCTTTCTCTACTTTATTTTCCCATTTGTGAAATATAAGTAATATTACTTCTTTGTATCTGAGGTATATTACAGTGACAACAGACGTAAGTAGTGCTCAGCTATATAAGCACTAGGCAGAACAAGTGTCATTGGATGTTGAAATTGGCAGAATCATAGAATCATTAAGGTTGGAAAGGACCTCCAAGATCATCTGGTCCAAACATCTCCCTACCACCAATATCACCCACTAAACCACGTCCCTAAGCACCATGTCCAACCTTTCCTTAAACACCCACAGGGATGGTGATTCCACCACCTCCCTGGGCAAACCATTCCAATGGCAGGTAAAAAATAATTTCACGAATGACTGCAATACCAATTTTATTATAAATTTGGAAGAAATTTTGTACACCTGTTTCTTGTACTTTTTGTACCTGGATCCCAAGTAATGGGTCAATATGTTTATTCAGAAATAATTTTACTTTTATGTGAGATTAGCATATTGTTATTATTGGTTGCAGATGGTAAAAGCAAAGGTTTGTCTAGTCCAACATCCAATCTTTGAAACTGAGAGCAGATGCTTAGGCAAGAAGGCAAAGAGTGGCCAAGTGTGTTCTACCAGTCTTTAATAATTTAACAGCTCTTATCCAAGGATCTAATTCATAACTGGAGGCATTTGTACTTTTGGTTTCAATTCCTAATACCATGATCTCCAAAATCTCCTTTCATTTTTTTTTATTTATTTTTTTTACTGTTACTTAAAAAGACAATTGAGTGTATGTCCTTCTCTTAGGCATTTGTTTTGATAACACATTTGGTGTGATCATTGACTTAAACTTTTGTTAGAATCTTATTTTAAAATTGGAAAGCTAGCTTCTCTAAGCCTCATTGTTTTAGTTTTACATGCACCATCTGGCATACCTGTCGTTGTTTTAATTGTACAACTGCATATTAGTTGTAAAAAGCCAAATGCTTTGGGCTTTTCCCAATAAGGAAACTAAACTATTGTTAAGGAAACTCATTAGTTCTCGCATTATCATTAGAACAAAGAAGTACTGCAATAAACATTATGTTGATCACAGAAGAAACGTTTTTTTTCTGCATTTTCCAGTTTGTTGCCTCATTCCTCATTTAGAATCATATGCTTCTAAATTTTGCATTAATGTAAACACTTCTATCATCTAACTCAGAATTAACTATCTGATTTTTCACAGCCAATTCACAGCGGAGGAAGAAAAAAACAACAACAAAAAAACACAACAATGGAGCAATGTTCTGCTTTATTTCTCCTGTGTTCACTGCTGCTTTTCTCATGCAGTGTTCACGTAGTGTTGTGGGTTCTTGCAGCCTACAGGATAGCTATAAACTTTTTTCTAGCCAATGCTTGTGAAAACAACAGTGGGATATATTGTTTGGAAATCCTATAAAACAGACATGCCAGAGAAGAAGTTGTAGACAGGATGTAGTGAGCTGAGAGGCCATAAAAGAAGGTTTAAGTCCTAGTCTTATAGTATGCAGACTGTCTAATTCCTCTGTGTTTCATAGCTGTGTTGAGGTGTCCTGTGCACTTGGCATGTCGATGTAGCAGTTATTTTCTGAAAAAACATTTACAAAAGACAGCGGTAAAACACGTTGTTTCTTCTGTTTACCCTTCTGGGCTAAAAAAAAAAAAAAAATCAATAGTAATAGACATGCATGAGACAAGTCTTTGGAATTACAGGTAATGAAATACATTTTCAGGGCAAGTCAGTGGGAACTTAAGAACTGAGACCTTAAAAGATCAGATAGTCAGATAGTATGGCTCTGAAAATTGCTAATTGCTTTTGAGAGCTTTATCCTCTGTCTCAAAGGACAGAGGTATAACAAAGATCAGCAGTATAATCATTAATTCATATGCTGTTCAAAACAAAAACTTGAGTCTTATTGCAGAAGTTTGTCTTGTTCACAGGCTTTCAAAGAAAGATTTTGTTTAAAAATTTACCTCGGCACTGATATGTGGAATAATCTTGGCTTCCAGGCCTTTGTCTTGTGTCAATGACTCATAAGAATATCTTGAAATAACATTTTGGATTTTGGAAATCTGTTTGTTTTGACGAGATAAAACAATGAAACAACAAAAAACAAACCCCAGTCAGGTGGGCTTGTCTGTCTTCTGCAATCTAATTCAAAGTCATGATCCGTAGAATGTTCTGCAGTTTTTGATTCCATTTGATTTCCAATTGGTATTGCTAGAGTACAATATGGGCCTCTGAATGCTTATGAGCTGTTGGACTGTGAGGTTAGACAGCAAATGTTAATGTTAGTAGCTTTTCAGTAAAAAGCATTACACAGAGAAGAAAAGGTCTCAAATTCATTTTACTTGTTTCTCACCTGCCTGAATATTGAAGATATATACATAAAAGTAATATTAATATTGAATATTTCCTACTGAAAACTGGAATGTAGGAACAAGCAATGGATATTTCGGTATCTGGCCTAAAGTACAAGTCATCTACTTTATAATTTATTTATTTATTTATTTATTTATTTATTTTTATGAGCACTTGGAGGCATCTCAGGTCTTTTTTCATAACTCCAAATTTTGGCCATCACTTTTGGTTTTCACTGGAGATCTCTGCCTCTAGTGCTAAAAAATAACAACTTTAATTTTTAGAATTTTGTTTTACTCTATTTCCAGTGTGATCTCTGAGCTGAATTTTCTTTCAAACCCAAATATCCAATATGCTTGTTATGCATATGCTTTCTTAATTTTTAATGTCATACACCTATGTTTTTCAAAATCAATTCTTTAGATAACAGTAATATTGAAAGACAACGTCTGTCTTTTAAGATGGAGACTTGTTAAAAATAACAATAAAATTATATGCTATCTTACTCTTGAGTTGTACTTGGCTTAATTCACATTACTCGAAAATACTTCATGATGGTAACCTTCCTTCCCTTGTGTTCAAGGACATTCCAGATGATATAATGGAGACTTTGGAGAATATCACATGAACATACCACAAGCATATTTGGTTGCAAATCACACTGTAAATTTAACTTCATTTACTGGGTAATAGAATTTGGATGAAACACAATCTCTCTTGGCAAGTTTCTTATCAATATAATTTCCAGAGAAAATTCTTGGGCATCATATTACATGTTTATTGTCTCAGGGATCTAAAAGCTTGGTGGCAGTCTCCATAAATGCTGCTTTAAGGTTAACTGTGAATAGAGTCAAAGATATATAATTCCGATTAGCATGAATAGAATACAAAGCTAACGTGAATAGAAGGCTAATAAGGTGTTAATGACTTGAGTATGTATCATCTTTCTTTATTTTTGCAGAGATATGCTGAGGGGCCAAATAAGATCTTGTGCCAATGCAAGTCATACAGTGTCTAAAGACTGTAGTTCACCTTCAGTGTTATTGTTCGCACTTGATGGCCAACTACTTTATAATTCTCTTTCCTATAAGTGGTGTGACTCACCAGTGCCACAGGGTGTATGTTGACAAGTGCCTGCTAGAGCTTTACTCTCCATCTCTCCCTGGGGCCTTCCTTCAAAGCAAGCGTCAGGGCCTGCTGCCTGGGCAAAGACGGGCCTGCTGGAGCATCTCCTTAAGCTGGGCTTCTCGGTTACTATTGTGAATTTTGGGCATCTCAAAAATTTTAATGAAGGGATAAGGCTAAGAGTATGTTTAGTGGTACAACACAGTGCTACTTATGCTAGTAAAATGTTGTAACTAACCAGATAATTTTAAAGAAATTTTGTTTGAGATTATGGAATTTATTGTGTAAAAACTCTGTGATTCCATGTTGCAGAGTATCTCAGAGGACTATAAACACAATGTTAGCCTTTCTAATAAACATACAGATCTATTTATTACTCCTATTTTCTAGACAGGTAGAACTGTAGAGAGATTAAGGCTGCACATACAGGATGCCTTAGGATCCATGCTAAGATACCTACCATGTAGATATCTGAATTAAATAGGGACATCCCTCTCTTCCTGTTTGTTAAGAGAGGGGCCAAACCGGATGGGATACCTTTCCATAGTATGCAAATAGGAGTACCTGCTCTGAGTGACAGTAACTTAACTGAAATATCTTTCAAAGGTTTTGAGATGCCTCCTCTGATGGCTGTGGTCCTTCCATTCTGTCACAGGGAGCGATTCCTTGAGCATTTATGTTAAATAAACATTTTCTTAAGTTTCCAATATTATTTATGAAAACTTTTTTACATGCTGTGAAACTTCTCGGATGTTTTTTAGGAGCAGAAGAGAATTTAGAGATGGAGTGAGAGAAACCCTGTGCTCAGTTATCCAGCATTGTCATAGTTGGGCTGTCTCTGTGCTTAGATTCTGGGTTCAAAATCCAGTGAGTAGTGCAGCACTTGATGTAAATTCTAAGTAATGGAGTTGCAGCTCTCATGCTTGTGAATGCTCGCTAAAATTATTGAAATTTATCTAATGTCTTTGAGGATTCACTTACCCAGATGTTTTTTGTGTAGTCTCACCTAGACATCCACACTTACATATCAGTAGAAAGATTTTTTTTTTAGGGTATGACACACACACCAAAAGTACCTTTTCCCTTTTCTTTAAATGGAGCTTAGAGTGACAAGCTCAGATGGAAGCATCCAAAGAGGGTAATCGCAGCTGGCCACTAACCACATTGTCCTGCAGAAAAACAGATTCAGGGGCAATTTCACTGTCCGTGAAAGTCACTGGTAGAGTATGGAGGGCTTATCAATACCATTGCATCTGATTCTGTGCTTGGGAATGCAGTTTGCCTTTCACCCTTGGGTTTTCTCTGTGTCTATCATTTTGGATATCTGGTATTGAGTTAAAGCAAGTTGATTTCATTATTATTTTTTTTAACTAATTGGAAAGATGTATTTTGTCTTTCTCTTTAGTCACTCTTGTATGTAAGCAGAGATTTGTTTGTGTTATTAATTTTTACCTTTGTTATATTAAAAATTAACATAGACCCTGTATTCCAGGTTAGTATTATTAGAGTTACCTGTACACTCCTCCCCGCCTCAAAAAAAAAAAAATCTAATTGGTATCTTACCTTCCTGCAATATTTTCTGATCATTTATATACAGTAAAAGCTTGAAATTGAATGTTAAAAAAAAAAAAAAAGTGTTTTTAAACAATGTATCTCATTATAAGATAACATCTTTGATTTCTTTGCTGCTTTAATCCAGCTTGTTAATTGCAGAGTAGTAAAATCATGAGTGTTCACATAAGGTTTTAAGGTTTTATGTTAATCTAGTTACCTTTTGTGTTTCATTTTTTTTAGGTTAATTACGAGTTGCTGCTTGAGAAAGACTGTCAGCTGCGTGATCTGGAAAATAAACTTGGAGAGTATATTGCTTCTTTACAGTTTCAAAAGACTGTTAAAAAAATCAAAATGTTGGAGCTATATACTGCTATCATAAGTGTACAAGCTTTGCTCTTTGAACAACTAAGCATGTCAAAAACCCTGTCAAAATTGGAATGTATTCAGATTTTGGAAACCCATAATCCAGTAAGTAATGAAGTTGTGAGAAAGAAAAACTGTTAGGAGACAGCAGCTGAGACAGTAGCTTATTTGACTTTGATTTAGTTGCACTGGTTTGCAATTCCTCATAGTCTGGTCTTGAGTTTCTGTGTTTATGTGCACTCTACTGTTCTAAATAAAAGAAATAAAGTAAAGGAAAATGTTAGTGCCAGAGAAGATTATATATTGTGGTTATTTATTTTTGTTACAGTACCATCCAGAGATATACAGTCAGAAAGAGCAGTATTTTGATGACTAGTTAAATTTTGTTGATCACAAGAAAGAACATTGGGAAGAGATAGTGTCATGATTCGTCATGAATGTGTTACAATTTTTTTGACAATATAATGCTAGCCATACAGGAAAATCCATAAATACACAATATACTTAAATCATGGAGATTTTAAAGTTTTATATATATATATACACACACATATATATATATATTATTATTTTTAATGTGTGAATTTACTTACCTGTTTGTCTCCCTCCAAGCATACTCACATTGTTTCTATACTAGAAACTTCAGAAAGACCTCTTCGCTTCATTGTATTTATTACACACGTTACATGTATGTGACAGTTTGCTGTTCCTTTTTTAATACTTCAGTATTCCGTATTCATAAGGATGGGTTTTGTCTGCTATTTGTGACCATCCGAGTGAGGCTTGGGAGAGCATTGGAGTTGAACAAACAAAATGATTTTTTAAGAGCAAAATCTCTTTGCTAGAGGGCATCATTAGAAAGCTATTACTATGAAAACTCCTGCTTAAATTTTAATGCTCTCATCTCTACAGAGCTTCTCTTAAAATGGCAGTTAGTATGCTTATACCCTTCCATTTAAAAATAAATAAATAAATCATTAAAGCTGTAGAGAACTGAGAAACTTCTGCATAGACAGAGTATTAAAATATTTTAATCTGGGTTTATTGCCTTTAATGCAGGAATTATAAGAGGTCCCAAAGAAAAGACTGGGCTTTGTCCCATCCTCTGCAAAGAGGTTGTTTTTAGCTTCTCTGTCCTTGAAGAAATGGCAAAAAAAGTATTGAAGGAAAGACTGAAAATAGAATAACTAACACTGGATTCTTTATCCAGTGTGCAGGAACTGAGGAAAGCCTTATTTGGGAAAAAATATATTTTAGGCATTGTTGGTTTACAGAAACTATCTCTTGGTAATCAAACCTTTGTCTCTTACTGTGTTTTATTTCTGCTCCTTTGTTCCACTACCTGGCAAAATACTAACATCTGTTACTTTAAAACAAATACATCAGATTACACAGGATTCCCTAATGCTTAACTACATCAGTGATAGTTTTACCAATCAGTGAAACAAAACACATCTGGCTATATGTGAATTTGCTTCATGCTCTTAGAGATAGCATGTTAATATTATTTTTTTGGTGTTAGGAGAGTAGATCTGAGCTCCAGTGTCACATCTTGCTGACGGGGGAGCAGACGCTTACTTAGATACGCCATACTTCAATGAATTTATAGTGTGAATACAGCTGATGAGGTGGAAGAATAGTTAGATAAAAAATTCAGTATTTTTTCCAAGCTACAGGTTGGGAAGAAAGGTGCTCAGGTATTTAGTAAGCAACTTGTTTGAGGTCAGACAAGAATGACATTGGAAGACTGGAATATGAACCCTTTCTTCTGATGTCTACTTTGATTCTTTGTTCAAAGAGGTCTTTGGCATGAGAGATCCAGCCCACTTAAAACTTCAGGTTTAAACCTTTGATTTTTAGACCATTGTATTTGAATCCTAATTTTATTACACAATTTAGTGTACTATTGTGAATTTATTGAATTACTGTCTTTGAACTTCATATCTTTTTGATACTAGCCATTGATGCAATGTAACTAAAACTAGTTTTGTGGAGTTTCTCAAGCTGTTTCAGTGCCTTTATATAGTTCATAGACTAATTCCGATGGTGCCATTCTTTTGCTTGGATCTCAGGCTTGCTGGTAGTCTTCTTTCTAGATGTCCTCTACGTAGGAAGGTTTCAGAGAGTAGCAGCCTTTAACACAGTGAAAATTGGCTTATATCTTTAGGCATTGTTCTCATATATTCAAATCATGCAAGTCATGTTTACTGAAGGCATTCAATGAATTGCAAAGTGTAATGACTGCACGTGGTTGGGTAGGATGAGAAAATGAAGAAACTAATAACACATGCTCCGATACCGTCTTTTTGCTTCACTCCAACTGGAAATTGTTCTTGTAAGATAATTTGTTACTTCAAGATTATGTGTTTTCAACCTCTAGGAGATTGAAGAACTTGACAGGAAGCTGGAGTATGAAATGTTGCATAAGGAGTCAGCCCAGCAGCAACAACATCTAATGAATAAGCAGAGGTGGACACCAGATGGATTGGGGCTTTCAAGTGAAGCTGTAGAAATGAATGCAGACAGACAGGTGACGGTTCTGCTAAGACAGGCCATGAATAAATGCAACCAGTTTATAAGTCTGCACCAGCAAAGGTGAGTGCTTTGGTCTCAGGTATTGCAAACTCACTGCATTCATTACAGACTTTTAAGATATCACAGAGAAACAGCAGACAAAACTTTCTGCTGTGCTGGGGAGGGACTGTGGACCAGAGCATAACTGAGAAGTCTCAGGAGCACTGAAATAAGAGATAGTTGTGTTTGGATGACAATGTTCTTCATGACAGTTGCCATATCTTGATGGAGCCAGTGAAAACGTAACAACACGTCCTAGCAGCAAGGGGGAAAAGAATTCTAATCCTGTTCTTCATCTCCCAAGAAGATGACTAAAGACGTCAATGAAACCTGCTTAGCTGGGCTCAGAGGAAGTACCTGAGACAATAAAATTGAATTTTCATCTCCACTGTAGACTGAATTCCCTGTTGTACAGTTATTTTTGATGTCGTATATAAGTAAAGGTATCAGTGGAAAAGTGAGTACCTTTTAAGTAAAGATATCAGTAGGAAAAAAAATGCCTCTTGGGAGGAATGTAGAAATACCTGTCTTGTATGAAGGCCACCCAGCAAAAATAGGTGATAATGTACAAAATTACAAAATACTAGGTTACATTTGTTACTAGTTACAGGAGTCAGAAATTACATTTCCACTTGTATTACACAGTATTAAAAAACTACCACATATCAAGTTTCATGTAAAATTCTTAGAGGGTGTTTTCCATTACAGAGAGGGTTTCCCTTGAACCCATTGCTTTATTAAAATAGCTTAGATAGACTTTGAATGCAGCTGTAACACTCTTAAGTCTGTTTTAAGTCTGAAAGGGCTGGAGCTCTCAGTGATGCAGATTAATGTCTGTCCTAGAAGAGCAGTAGAGGAGCAAACAGGTTACTGGCTTGGGAATACTACAGGATACAGCTGTGTCAGTCAGGCCTTTAGAGGAGTGACAGCTCTTTTTTACTGTTTACTTCTAAACATAATGGAAGAAATTAATCTTGTGCTTTTCCCAGATAACATTATAATGGCTTCATACTTTGGTCTAGAAAGAAAAAAAATCATCAGTAATGAGGAAGCTAACAGTTTACTGTTATTTCAGAAACAAAAAGGTCCACAATTTGCTGAAAAGTGTGATGAAAATGACATGATGGGGAGACAGGTTGAATGACAGTTCTTTGGAGCAATTTCAGATTTGTATTACGTGCAAGAACATGGCCTCAAATTCTGCTCTGATTTTGTGTTGTGGTTTAGGGGAGAAGAGAGCAGGAGAAACTGACTTATTTTGGAAGTTACACTGCTCAGCCAACTTGGCTGACAGAGTTTTGCCTCCTGAATGGATGACTTTCAGTTATTGTTTCCTATGATACAGTCATTGCACCTGAGAAGATTTCAATGTTAATTCTGTCTTTCACTTCAGCTTGAGAGATGAGCAGTGGAATTGCATGGTGCTTGAAGATCTCCTGGAAAATATAGAAATGGATGCATTTTTGGCACTTTATAGTCAGGTAAGCATGAAATTGAACAAAGTTTCCAGGTTTATATTACAGCTGTATCAGCAGATCAGCTTTTCTTCTTTTTTGGGAACTGTTGCAGATATATTTGGACCCAGTTCTGCTAATAGTCACTACCAGTTCTGGTGTCTGCAGCATATATTACCTTTGACTTCAATTAATTCTGACCTACTTTTCAGCCTTTTTAATTTTACTGTTATACTACTTATTCTTCACTTATAAATCCTTTCCGGCAGTTGTCCTACTGCATTTCATTCTGTGGAGAGAACTAAATTGCTTGAGTTTATGACAGACAGATTTACAGACAAATTACTATTTGATTTCCACGTGTTAAGACGGGTTCTGTTTAGGTTTCGGTCTTTCATCTGAGAAATGAATAGCACTGATTGTGTTACAAAACTAAATGACAAAAGCACTGCTAGTTAAATTTTCTAGTGTCATTACTCATACTATTTTCAGAAAGAACATCTCTTCTTCATTGGTCATAATTTATTATTTGTTGGCTGCCTGTCAGTGCCACAAAGGGCATTAAAAGTGAATCACTGTTGTTCCTAAATTTTATTTGCAGGTAAGTAACTAATATCAGGGTAAAAGCAAAAACAAACAAACAAACAAAAAACTATAGATTCTACAGCTTTTCCCATCTAGGTGTCTTATCTTTCAAGGACAGTTGCAGTTGCAGCCACCTGTGTCACAAATTGTGAACTTCATATTCCAGCGAGCCAAGGAGGAACAACTTAGACTAAGGGGGTGTCAGCTTCTCCTGAGTCTCAGGTTTGCTTTCTACGCAGGTTTCTGAACTCTTTGTCTTCTGTTGAGTTAGATGTCTGCTTGAGATCAGTTTGGAGTGGGACTCCTGTATATTATATTTTCATTAGCAGATTCACTTGGTAGGTCACACATGCTTTCAGACCCTTACTTTGATTTGGGCAAGGAACTTGCAGTGAGGTCTCCTAAAGCTCACAAGAGTTTGATAGTCACTTCAGTCTGTCTCTCATGGGGACATGTGGAGACTCGACTCATCTGGCAGCCTGATGGTTACGGTACTGTCCTGGAATAGCCTATCTCACTTTGTGATAATGAATTACATTAGAGTGGAATTCAAACCTGGTCTTGTGCTTTCCAGGTTTCCTATTCTCTGGGCATAATAATATAAGCACCAAAAATCCATTCTGACATGTTTTTTAAAGTGTCGCATTTGAAGGTGATGCTGGCAAGGTCACAACCAGCATTAACAGCTTTCTACTTTTAAATCCAAGCTATGTGTTTCCATAGCTTTTATATTAATGTTGTTTTCCTCTTCAATTTTTATGTTGCAACCTTTTTTTTTTTTTTTTTTTAAACTGTCTTGCTACCATATTCACCTTGAATTTGGCATATGGTAAACAGATACGGCTGTCAGCAACTGCTGAATTCTACTCCAGCCTTAAACTCCTTCTCATTATGTTTCCTGCCCCCATGGCTGCTGCATGCAGAGCTCCTGAAAAAAAACTTTCTGCTATCTGCCTTTGTAGGATGTTTACGTGGTTATTCACCAAACAGTGAGTTTTAATCTGATTATTTCTTTACAGCTTTAAATTTTACATGTATTCATTTCTGTTCCGTTAAAATAACTTGTGTACTGCTGATGAGGCAGTCACCAAGAATTTTCAGTTATGCATTAAGTTGTGGAACAGTAACATGGGCAGCAACAGCTATAACACTTTTCAGAGGTGATATTAAATGGAGGCTTCCTTTGTCTGTTTGTAATTGCAGTTTGTGTAACACATGAAAATTTCAGAACATGTTTCTAGGTGAAAAGAGGATAGATCTTTTGTCCTGTTCAACCTTTCATTTTTTTTTTTTTTTTTTTTTAAATTTGGTAAAACGGGTAAGGTGTTAACAGGCTTCTATGAATATTTTGCTGAAACATACAATGCTTCAGATACTTGTTGAATATCATAAATGTAAGATAAGAAATAAATTATTTTCAGCATCAGTGGAAAATAAACATCAAAACACATACAAAAATTGAAAATGCTTTGAAGGGTCCTTTGGGATTTGCTCGTCTTTCCCTATACTGCTGTAGTTTAAGTCATAGGTCTTGGTGGACCAGTCTTGTAGATTCTTTTATACTTTTTTTTTTTTTTTTCCTAGTCCATTATAATTTTGTCTGACAAAACATTTTGCATCCAGAAATGCTGACTGGTATGTAGGCTTTAAACAGCACAGACCAGCTCTTCCAGATTAACACTACTGAGACTGTTATCATAGTGTAATTTCAGTGCTCTTAAATCTGCTTTTGCTTTGTAATTTTGGACTAATTGAAGGAATGGCTGGGACCTTGTACAATGTTCATTTAGCTATTTCCTACTCTGGTGAAAACACTCAGCACTAAGTGGGAACTCTTAAAAAAGAACATGAACACTGCATTAATCTTGTACTCTGGTTCTTAGTTTGCCATACCCCTGGGCATAGAAGGGTAGGAAGAACTTGCATATAACAAGCCAGCTGCTCAGCAGAAGAGTTCTTATCTTGCAAAGGATGATGTGAAATGGCTTTCTGCTGCTTATGAGTTAGCTGTGTGTGATAGAGCCTCAACGTTTACCTCTCTCATGAAGGCATTAATTCAAGATGTGTGCCATATTACAGATGAATTCAGATGAATCATCATATTCAGATGAATGCTGAAGCAGCAGTGTAGGACTTAGTAGAAGGGACACCAAGAACAGAGGGAAACCAGTGGCTGAGTGCTACTGCTTCTGACTTTGAATCATTTCAAGAGAAATCCTTTCCCAACAGACCTTCACCTTTTTCTTAGCATTTCAGTTCAAACATAGTGCTCTTTTTCTTTTGGAAGTATTGATCATATTTATCATTCAACTGCCCAGTACTTACTGTTACTGTAAGCTAGTGTCTGTTCTAGAAGTTTTTTAATAGCGACACTTCTTGTGCTACATTCCCAAAGATCTTACATCTTGGCTTAGGGAAAACTGAATCAATCTTGCTTCTCTACAGCATAGGTAAACCATGTTGATTATGTTGCTGACAATTTAATTGTCTTCTTGTGATGACTGTTGGGTTTCTAATCCTTTGGCAAAGATGTATCGTGAAACAGCTCCTGAACAGCATGGTAGGCATTCTGCAAGTTCAGAAATTAAAATAATTGTTGTGCAGATTACAGATGCATGCAAACAGTATGTCGTAATTTTCACAGTGCCCAGTCCCTTTAGCACCCTATCAGGTGAGCAATGACCTTGATAACTATAATTTTTATATCTTGAAGAAAGAAGGAGGCTTATGAGCATTATTGTCAACTCATTACAGTTTAAAAACTGGACACACTGTTCAGTGTACACTTGGGGGACTGTGCTGTATGTTTTGTGCATAAGATTCCCTGAAGAAATTTTTAGTGTATGGAAATATGTATTAGATACACCATGGTGGGCTTTTTTTGTATTTACATTTAGTCATATAAAAGGTAGTCCAGAGATACTTTGGGACACGGAGCTCATGAAATTCTGTAAAACCTATGCAGATAGCCCCTTCAGATACACAAAAATGAATTCTGTTCACAGCAATTTTCATAATATAATAACTCCAACTGTAATTCCAAACTTCAGTAGTCTTATTTCAACTGTAAAGAAGTACACAGTTACTAGAATAGGAGTTTATTAATTTATTAAGGCTCACAGTGTCATATGTTCCTTCTTTGGGATATGCTTATCCTGTGTGTTGATATGAGAATTGTTTTTTAAATCTTTTTTCCCCGTTTTCTTACAATTTATAGGCACATTATTAAGACACATATTAAGAAACTATAGTATTGTACCTCTGTATTTTACACTTATTCTTTTCTTTATAGAGGATTTTCCCCTTTCGACTAGTTTTTAGAACTGCATTTAGCCTTCTTGGAAAACCAGATAAGTTTCACTTTCCTACATTTTGTCTTGTAGCTTACATCCCTATGGAAGCAGATCTAGGTCGATAAGAGATTTGCTAGAATGATAGTGAGTTCAGGATTATAAGCCTCTCGGTGAGAAGTTACTTTTAAATGAGCATATAGCTATAGCCCCAGGTACACTAGTTGATTTTTAGAGAAGACAAATGATGGAGACAGACTGTCATGTGGAAACAGCACGGTAAGCTTAAAACACAGCATGAATCAAATTCATTGATTCTTGCATATAGGTGTTTAAATACACATTGCTCAGACAAAATACTTAAAAGTAATTCTACTGTTTGCAAACCGCAGTTCATACATGCCTTTTTTACTCTGGTGAAATTCAGAGAATACAGATGAGGTCATTGGTGGCACAAATAACATTTTTATCCATTAATGTTACAAACCACACAAATTCCTAATCTTTGCAGTGCTTTACTGTCTCTAATATGACTGAAGATTGAAACTCACCCCACACTGGAGGGCCTTTGGTCTGACTAGTGTGACCATTCCTGTATTTGAATGCACATTCACTTCTTCCTGTTTACACAAGCTGGTCCAGGTACCTGTGGGTTTCTCTAAGTGCTACTGCAGGTGCCTGCTCACACATCAGCACGCACTTTGCCAGACATATGCTAGGTGCACCTGGCTGGTGCCACTTTTGGTACTGTTGACAGCACTGTGGCACCTTGGAGGATGACTTAATCATGAATTCTGCTGTGTTAGAACACCACTGAGGGTTGCCTTCCAGTACAAATCATTCTTGATGCAGAAAGGTAAGGGTCAGAGTGGAGGAAGGAATATTTTAAAGAGGAAACTATTACAGAGGAAAGCAGTACTGAAGTCATGACGCATATAAATAATCATCCGCATATAAATTATGGAGTTAAAGTTCCTGCTGAGACAATTCAGTCAGAGGGAAGGATGGGTCACAGAGATGCCATTTTTATGTTTGTTTTTTTTTTTTTTTTTTTAAGTTTCTGGAACAACAGTTTTTAAGACCAAAAGTATAACACAGAAGTATAACACAAGCAGTCTGTATACATTGACTACAGAAATTAAACTTAGCTGTCTATATTAAGATTTAAGGCTTTCTTTACATTTTCCCTACAGAAGAATGAAATCATTTCGTATCTAAGAACCATGAACAGATGTCTCTTTTTCCTTACTACGGTATCCATTTCGGGATGAACATAATGGATATTTGAAATACCCAACAACGTAGTAATCTATCATTAGCATTAGATTAGCATTTTGTCTTATTTATTCTCGTGTCTCAGTGGTTTCCATGGAAAACATGTAGCCATACTTAAGAGGCTAGGAGACTTTGGGGAGTGACTACTTCTTCATTTTGGACAGAAATCTCTGCTTGCCTCAGTATACTGTAGACTTTTTATATTTGATACACATGAGAAATCAGCAGAAACAGCCCTGGGGACAGAGTAGTTTTGACAGCTGAGCAGCAAGTAACAATGTGGTTTGGGTGTTTAGAGGGAGACAGGAAATGGGTCTGATTAATCGTCTAGGGAACAACTGAATTTGAACTTAGTCTATTTGGACACTGTGTGAATATAATTTACCAACAACCTTTGGGCCAGAAAAGGAAAGACATTTTTAAGAGGCTAAAGATGTTTCCTTCTCTTACTGGCAAGTATTACAAGCTATTCTCTGAGCTTATCACAGAATATGGTGTTATGAGAAGCTAAACAATCAAATGCCCAAACATGGTGACATGTAAATGTTGTCATTAGGTTTCAGAGGTTATTTTTTCCTTATTTTGCAAACCAAAAAATGCCATATTGCTTCATTCCTGTGTTGATAATATTAGAATCCATAAACTAAGTAAACCTTGTATTCCAGAATATGATTGCATTGTGATTTTTCTGACTGAAGGACATTGAGGACATTTCTAAGCAGAAAAAATGAGAGGAACTGGTAGTTTAGAATTTAAATTGCGTGTATCTGTAATGAAATGGGGTACTTCAACCCGTGTGTACCAGTGTGGATGGAAGCAATGAACACAAGACTGTGACTACTTGACACCAAAACCACTGAAATGATTTTCAATAATACTTTTTGTTTCTATGATGAATAATTTTTTACCATTAGCAATTAAAATTCACTAACCTTTTCTTTCTATTCCCTTCCCATGGTGCTCCCACTCATTAATCCTTCAGGAGCTCCGACTAGCAGGTTATTTAGCCAAACTGACAAGGGTGCCAATGGGAATGTTGCACAGGATTCTGAACTTGTTGCTGCCCTCCAGTTCACAAAGTGAGGTTCTTTCTGTCCTCGATTCCATCAATAAATACACAGATGCTGTTGCTGAAGGTGACAGTGCTGCAGATGAGCCTGGCAGCTGTAAAAAAAGGTAAGTGTGATCTTTTCTGATAGACTGTTGCAAAAGATTATTTCTTTCTTTTAGATTTATTTATTTATTTATTTATTTAAGCTATATTTATTTGCTTGACAAGCAGATTGATGATAGAAAAATAGGGGGGTTCATAAGATTTTTCTATGAAATACTTTCATGGTGTAAAGTGTTTTGAAACTGCTGCCTTATTTTATGAAATAAAATTGATTAATGAAAAGCTCCTAAGTTTTATAACTTCAGGAGTATAATTTAGCTGAATTAGGCAGTTATTTTATAGACTTATAAACCTTGCTCTGATCATTTTATTTTTGTTGACTTGAATTTATTAAAATATTGAAGTCTCTCTCCCAGCTCCCTGCCATGCATGACATGAGAAAGGGAGAAAAGATTATTTTTAAATTAAAAATAATTATCTCCAAACTGGAGAGAGATGGGTTTGAAGGGTGGCCCTAAAAAAAAAAGAAGGATGTGGACCTGTTAGAGTCAGAGGAGGGCCATGAAGATAATCAGAGGGCTGATGATCATAGCACCTCTCCTATGAAGAAAGGCTGAGAGCTTGAGACTATTCAGCCTGAAGAGGAGGCTCCAGGGAGACCTCATTGCAGCCTTTCAGTACTTAAAGGTTTCGGTACTTGAAGTACTTCAGTATTGCTATGAAAAAAAGATGGAGAGCAACTTTTTGCTTGGGCAGGTAGTGACAGGACAAGGGGGAATGCTTTTAAACTAATCTTTAGTTTAGAGGAGATTTGCATTAGATGTTAGAAGGGAATTCTTCACTCAGAGGTTGGTGAGGCACTGGAACAGGTTGCCCAGAGAAGCTGTGGATGCCCCTCCCCTGGAGAGATGTTCAAGACCAGGCTGGACGAGACCCTGAGCAACCTGGTCTAGTGGGTGGCATCCCTGCCCATGGCAGGGGGGTTAGAATTGGGTGATCTTAAAGGTCCCTTCTGACCCCAGCCATTCTTTATAAGATTCTGTGAAAAGCAGATGTGGCACTGAACCCTCTAGTTGTTGGATGTGAGTTGTTAAGGAATGGCTAAGGGTCCTTGGGACCATATGGTCTTATGTGGTCTTTTGTGCAAAAACCTTCGCATGCTCTTACTGGTTGTATTTGTGGCATTAATATTAGGGTTTTGGTAGTTAAAATAAGAATAGGGGAAAAAGTATGTGTAGTTGGGGATTTGTTGCTGGAAATTTTTTCTTTCCTTTTCCTTCAGGAAGAACCAAGAGAGGTGGCAAGCATTGGAGAACAAAGTAAGGGAAGATCTGATAAACATAAGTTTGGAAAGAATCCCTTCTCTGAACAGGAGAGAAGACAGGTAAAGAAAAAAAAAGGAAGAAAAACATTTTATTATCATTAGTTTGTTATACTTTATTTCATCTCCAAAGGTTCTTCTACATCTGTTAGAAAATAAGTTCATAAATATGTTTTTTCTGACACTGTTCTAATCTTTGATGCTTGTTTCCTACAACATATTTACACATAATATGCAATATTAGTAAATGTCTAAAAAGATTTTTCTGTACTTATCAACAAAATTCACATGTTTTTCATAAACATTGCCCCACCTTCCCTATGTTACTTATAAGGTTAACTTTTCTTACGCAGTTTTGTATCTCATAAAATGTTATGCAAATTATTGGGGATTGGAAGAGAAGCTACATTTCTGTCTAAAATACGATTTTATTTAGCTTGCAGAGGAAAGTCACCACTCCTATGTCATGGTATGATATAGAAAGTGATGCTGCTTTTCTGCCAAGTTTTCATTTTTAATTCTTTTTTTTTTTTTTTTTTTTTTTTCATTAACGTAGCTTGGTGAAGAAGAAGCAACTTGCCCTCCTGGAAGAAGCATCATTCATTCGTCTTGGATGTTTATCTACGCGTTCTCCTATGGAACAGTCTGGTCAATACGTTTCTGTGAACACTGCAACTGCTGAATCCATAGAAGTATTAGACACAGGGGAGAAGGTATTTTTATTCCGTGAGCAGAGAGATCCAGTCCTTTCTTTTCATAATTCTCTAAGGAAAAAGAAAAAGAACTTCCTTAATTCCAAAAAAGCTGCACATGCAAGTATGGATTAATGAGGGAAACTTCCATTTGAAGAATCAATTAGGGAAGAGGAAGTTAATTAAAAATTAGAAAGAATTGTTTTAATATCAATTTTCATCAATTTTATCAATTTTTAATATCAAAGTGTTGTTTTAATATAAATTTTCTGACATTGTAAATAGTTGTAGTTTTACATTGTCGAACTTCACAATGAGCGTTGTTCATCTTTCAATTCTTATCAATGCATCTTTTAATGGATGGACCACTTAGTGAGTAAGGAATTGGCTGGGTGGTCACACTCAAAGAGTTGAGGTCAACAGCTCAATGTCCAGTTGAAGATCAGTAACGAACAGTGTTCCTCACAAGTCAGTGCTGGGACAGGCACGGTTCAACATCTTTGTTGGTGACGTGGACAGTGGGATTGAGTGCACTCTCAGCAAGTTTGCCCATATCACCACACTGTGTTGTGCGGTCATAATGCTGGAGGGAAAGGATGCCATCCAGAGGGACTTTGACAGGTTTGAGAGGTGGGCCTGTACAAACCGCAAGACGTTCAACAAGGCCAGGTGTAAGGTCCTGCATCTGGGCTGGGGCAACCCTAAGCACAAACACAGGCTGGGTGGAGAATGGATTGAGAACAGCCCTGATGAGATGAACCTGGAGGTGCTGGTTGATGAGAAGCTCAACATGAGCTGGCAACGTGTGCTTACAGACCAAAAATCCAACTGTATCCTGGGCTGCATAAAAAGACGCATGACCAGTACATCAAGCGAGGTGATTCTCCCCCTCTTCTCTTGTGAGACCCCACCTAGAGTACTGTGTTCAGCTCTGGGGTCCCCAGAATAAAAAAGACATGGATGTATTAAAACAAGCCCAGAGGAGGGCCAAGAAGATGATCAAAAGACTGAAGCACCTTTCCTGTGAAGAAAGGCTGAGAAAGTTGGGGTTGTTCAGCCTGGAAAGAAAAGGCTCCAGGGAGACCTTATAGCGGCCTTCCAGTACTTAAAAAAGGCCTACAGAAAAGCTGGGGAAGGACTCTTAGTCAGGGAGTGTAGTGATACCACAACAGTAATGGTTTTAAACTGAAAAAAAGGGGGATTTAGATTAGATATTTGGAATAAATTCTTTACTCTGAGGGCATTGAGGCACTGGAACAGGTTGCCCAGAGAAGCTGTGGATGCCCCATCCCTGGAGGTGTTAAAGCCCAGGCTGGATGGGGCTTTGAGCAACCCGGTCTGGTGGGAAGTATCCCTGCCCATGGCAGGGGGTTGGAACTGGGTGATCTTTAAGGTCCCTTCCAACCCAAACCATTTGGTGATTCGTTCTGTGATGCAACAGATGAAATATGGGTGTTTTGTGATGCACGTTCAGGCATACAGGACTCAGTGTTCCTTCAGTGCTTTGCACTGATTTTACTGTAGCTGTTTCTTCATAATTTATATAGAAAGGTTATTTATTATATAAAGCAGGTACTGATTTACTGTTCTCATATTTATGTATTCTTGTAATAAGCTGTGGTATAGCAGATGACATGAAGAGATGAAATGGATGACCCACAAATCCTCTGCTGTCTGATTTTCTCTTAGTCTAGCTAATTTAGTTTAATCTTGTGCTGTTAATAAGCTTTGAATGTTACTTCTGCAGTCTGTGTTCTCCAGTGGTAGCTGATAGTCCAGATTTTCAATGTATGCATAGGCACTAAGCCTTTCAACCCAGAGCAGTTTCAGCTTTTCATTTTTGTGTATAAATTTACTTCAGTAGAACTAAGAATGTGGCTTCAGTTCAGAACTTAAGTTTTAAGTCTTAAATATTTGCAACCTGTTGCAGTGTTTTTCTTCTCGAAGCAATGTGATCATATATGTCAGTAGAAAAGGGAAACTTGTAAATGGACATGTAATACCTTCAAAAGCTTTATTTTTTTTTATTACAGTGCTGCCAACTGTTGTAATTTTATATGTATGTGGGTATTTTTGAAGTTCTTATTCTCAAATTTCTTTAAAGTATGAGAATATCGTTTTACATTTCAAAAAAGAGTTAATTTTCAACACCTTTCTAATTGATGGAAAGAAGTCTGTAAATGTGAACCCTAAAAACTGTAATAGGAAAATATAAATCAAAAGGAATGCATGTATTTGATAATTCACGATATTCAAGCTGGTTTCAAGGGATATTTTTGAACTGTCTTCAAATGCTATATTGTGAGGGTACTGTGATTGTGTATTTTGCTGTTTTTGAGGTATGAAGTTTCTGTGCCTTTGTATTAACAGGATACCAATTTCATTTTAAAAAATAAAATGTTACTTTGTATGTGTGTCTGCAATTGGCATCTATTCCCAATGGGGAAAAAAAACATTTTTTCCCTCTTCACTTGACAAGTTTAAATATTCATTCCACAGTAAACAGCAATTAGTGTTTCTTATCACTATTAACATTAGAAAATGTTCTATGCAGTAATTAGCCTGATAATCCTAATTATTTTCTGATTGCATTCTTCAGTCTCTTGAAAGAAGTCATCACTCTCACAGAAAAAGTAGCGTGTCAGGGTAGTGGGAGTTCAGAGTTGCTGTGTTTTAAGGCACCTGGTATGTCCTGAAGGCTAGGGTAGGTTAAGGTGAGGTCTGCTCTATCTTGAGGCAGGTTAGAGCTGCCTCTGGAGGAGGCTCAGGTGTTTCAGAAAGGGGTTCGGAAAAGTCATGTCTCCAGCAGTCCCTGTGCAGGAAAAAGCAGTAGGAAAAGCTGAGCTGTAGTCAGGGCTGCAAGGAGCACTTGAAAGCTATAGCATCCTCATCTGATGCAAGTAAGACTTCTCCCAAGCCCAGGCCTTCGGCTGTTACTATATGAAAAGGGAAACAGCAGCATTACTCACAGATAAGATGTTGATACAATGCAAAATCTGAATATTTATTGCAATATCAATTTATTATCCTCAACAGATAATCTGCATGTCTAATAGCAGAAGGCTAATTTGGAACTCTCACTTACCACAACTTTGAAACAGCTCAGTGAATGTAACTATTCTAGTGGGGAAATGTCATACCCTGATCTGGATCAGTTTCATATCATGCGGTGCATATTCAAAGAAATGTGCTAACCTTAAAATCTCTCTCATCTTACAAAATAGGTAACATCTCTCATCTTACAATCTAGGTAACAGCCCACCTCAATAAATGTTTGATTTATATTCAGCTTTAAGTCACTCAAGACAGAGGAAGGCCCTTGGTGTGTGTGCAGTTCCTGTGTGTGTACTATAGGTATTAGCATCCTTATTTCACAGTTGAAGTCTTCCAAGATGTGCATACTGGACAAGCTGGTCAAATTAAGCCCATTGGGTTTAATTGTAATTGTCAATAAAATCACTAATATAAAGCCAAATTCTTCAGCATTTTGAACATTATCCACATGGGGCAAATTGTTCTTCATTCTCCCTAGATTAGCATGAAAAAAGGATGTCTTATCAGTCTCTTACTTTTAAACAGATGAAACAATAAAAGGGTTACAGTGTCTGATACTGGTGCTCAATATTGTGCTGACTGTAGAATTGGGACTTAAAAAAAAAAAAAAGCCCCACCTTTGTTTAGCAATTCTCTCTTCTGGTTTCTGCCTGGTTATATAATGCATTTTACTTGGATCAAAAGTATTGGAAATGAAGGAGCCTCTCATTAACACCCCGTTTAATTGCTTTTCCCTGGCAGTTCATTATTTTTCATCTTGTCCCTGACCCTGGACATTATACCCACATCGTGGTTGTCATTTCCACTCTACCTGAGGCCATTGACCAAGGAGCCAAGACATGGAAAGAATAGGAAAAAATAAGTTGTTGGGCAGTGACACTTTAATCTACACAGGAAAAATAATGGTATAATTTATTGAAGAAGTGAATTCTCTCTGTTGGACTGTAGCTTTGTTATCCTTTCTTCACTGGGCACTTAGCTTCCATTGTGCACAGCACTTCTCTGATGCCCAGAGGCAATTCCTGTGCACTAACTGCCCCCACTTCTGGATTTTCAGGAGTCTTTATCACTTGTGCAAAATGGTCAATTCTCAGGTTTAGCAGACATGGGGACTCTGCTGTAGGCTCCAGTTAGCATTACCATTATCCCGGTCTTCCACTGATAGTGTGACCCCTCCTGAAGGACCATGTGGTGTTTGTAAATTAAAGGTTTGCACTGGTAGGGAACAAAATGCCCCAGGAAAGCTCTAAGAGGAGCTCTTGCTGAGAGAGATTTGCTTTTCTGTGTTATCATACAAACCTAGTGCTAGCACCATATAAAGATTCAAAGGAAAATATTTTAAGATACTTCAGTCCTTTTAAGATGAAATGGGCACTTCCTGGAATGTTTGAAATTGACACGGTCCTCAGTGTCCATAGATTTAAAAAGATTTGGTATCCATAGGCTTCTGGACCCGTGCAGCCATTTGCAGTGAGGTATGTATGTATCACATTTTCTGTGGTGTTGTTATGGTAGTGGTGTTCATGTATGCTGCAGCTTCTTCATGAGTGCATTTACTGGAGTGTAATTAATTTGAGTAATGAAGTTCTTTGCTACCTCTCTTAAGACAGGTGGAAACAAAATCACATTGTAGATAGTAGTGTTCAACCTGCAGAGTGCCCTTTAGGCAAGGTAGGATTTTAAAAGCTTGTTTATTTTCCTCTCTCTTTTTCTGGCTTGGTTTATCAGAGATACAGATACTGGATTAGCATGCCAGAAATGTTCCTTACTCAGTTGTTTAGTTTGTCTCTAAAATCAAGCTTTTTTAAAAAAATATATATTCAATTTTAAAGGTTTCTTTAACAAGAAAGATATTGTTAAAAAAAAAAAAATACACCCTGGGGAAAAGTGTTTTCTCTATAAAATGTTCTGCAGTGATTGAACTGAAAATGTTTCCCTGAAACAACGAAGTTGAGATTTCATTTCCCTGTCCTCACTATTGTGTATTAATTTGTTATGAAATACAGTATACATTCTAAGCCTAATAAAGAATAATTAATACCAAAAATGAATGACTGGATATTGTGGTAGAAACTATCAACACTATGTCAAAAATTAAATCTACTGTAAAGGAAAGTGAAAATACCTACATGGACTTGGCACTTCTGCAATGAGAAAAATGTAAAAATAGAAGTAATAAGATTAACATTTTTATGGAAATAATCGTTGTATTTAATAAATATCTTTATCTTCACTCATGGCTATCATAATTTCGTTTTCAGATTAACTTCTAAACTGACAATGTCTCTTTATTAAGGTCAATTCTGCAAAATGCTCATCTGCTTTATTTGAACCTGGGGAAATCATGCTGCTTTCTTTCATTATCTTGTATTTACCCAGTTGCTATTTTAACACCTTTATTTCTTCTGGGGAATGTTAAGTTTTTATGCTGCTATCTTAATACAACCTAGTGCCAGTAATTATACTGCCTTTCATCAATGGCTCTTGCTTCCTGAGAGTCTGAGAGCAGGGTTTCAAAGCATGAAATGCCAAGTCCCCTAATTCAGCTGACCCACTTCCCCCTCTGAAAGGTTTTGCTGTTGTGCTGATATGACTGGTGCAGACATAGCTGTACCAGCATCGAGCAAGCTGATTTTGCCTACCAAATTGTAAGAGCTACTTTAGGAAAAGTTGTATTGTCACGGGTCATTGAGTGCTGTGTGAGAGTCCATATGAATGTGTGTACTGGTCAGGCAATATGGTGAAAGTGCCACAGCACTCCTGGTGGGATCCAGCCTTTGCTGCTAGTCTGCCCAGTTCCTCTTCTGCAAAACAGCTGGCAAAGGCCAGCAGCTCAGGTCTGCAGAGCTCTCTTTCTGTTCATTTTCTTGTCGTTCACAGGGAACAAGATAGGGAAGGTCAGACTCAACGCTTGTGAAAGACTTCACGGTGTGCTCACTGCTTGCCTTTGTGTTGCAGACAAGCTGTAATATAAATGGGTCATTTAGTGCGAACTGATAATGTCCATCTCTGTATTCGGACAGTCTGTGCTTTCTCGTGTATATAACCCCTAATTATTTTTTCCACCTCGGCTATATCAAGAAGCCTGAAAG